CAGCTGATCTGAGGTCTGTTTCCTGCAGGAGATTTACACTGACCAGAGGAGGGAGAAGTACTCAGATCTGGTACTTGGGTAAAAATAGAAGTACGTAGATCTTGTATTTGAGTTAAAGTAGAAGTACTCAGATTATGTACTTAGAAAAGATGTCGCATACATATATGAAATATGTCTAAAGATGTTCAGGGTTAGGGTTAGGGTTAGCCCTAACCTATTATCTTCTAGTCAAAAGTTAAGTTTTCCTCTTTGAGATGTAGATATATTTAAAGATGACAACATGGGAATTGAAAAGTAAAGTGCAAGTAACTAACATGTATAATTAGGACAGTATTTACTTTTCACCACTGTACATTATCATGATTACCTTTTTTCTGGTTTCCTCTCAGTCGTGCTAATTAACTCTAATTGTTTCCACCTGATCCACAGCTGTAAATGAACACCTACTGTAAGAAAACACAGTAAAAACCAGCAGGACTGAAACACCTTTTTCACCACAAGCTTTCTTCAAAGAGTCCTCTCCTGCTGATGTTCAGGTGTATATCAGTATGTAGTGTCTCTACTTTAAAGAGTCCTCTCCTGCTGATGTTCAGGTGTATATCAGTATGTAGTGTCTCTACTTTAAAGAGTCCTCTCCTGCTGATGTTCAGGTGTATATCAGTATGTAGAGTCTCTACTTTAAAGAGTCCTCTCCTGCTGATGCTCAGGTGTATATCAGTATGTAGTGTCTCTACTTTAAAGAGTCCTCTCCTGCTGATGTTCAGGTGTATATCAGTAATGTGGTGTCTCTACTTTAAAGAGTCCTCTCCTGCTGATGTTCAGGTGTATATCAGTATGTAGTGTCCTCTACTTTAAAGAGTCCTCTCCTGCTGATGTTTCAGGTGTATATCAGTATGTAGTGTCTCTACTTTAAAGAGTCCTCTCCTGCTGATGTTCAGGTGTATATCAGTATGTAGTGTCTCTACTTTAAAGAGCCCTCTCCTGCTGATGTTCAGGTGTATATCAGTATGTAATGTCTCTACTTTAAAGAGTCCTCTCCTGCTGATGTTCAGGTGTATATCAGTATGTAGTGTCTCTACTTAAAGAGTCCTCTCCTGCTGATGTTCAGGTGTATATCAGTATGTAGTGTCTCTACTTTAAAGAGTCCTCTCCTGCTGATGTTCAGGTGTATATCAGTATGTGGTGTCTCTACTTTAAAGAGTCCTCTCCTGCTGATGTTCAGGTGTATATCAGTATGTAGTGTCTCTACTTTAAAGAGTCCTCTCCTGCTGATGTTCAGGTGTATATCAGTATGTAGTGTCCTCTACTTTAAAAGAGTCCTCTCCTGCTGATGTTCAGGTGTATATCAGTATGTAGTGTCCTCTACTTTAAAGAGTCCCTCTCCTGCTGATGTTCAGGTGTATATCAGTATGTAGTGTCTCTACTTTAAAGAGCCCTCTCCTGCTGATGTTCAGGTGTATATCAGTATGTAATGTCCTCTACGTTAAAGAGTCTCTCCTGCTGATGTTCAGGTGTATATCAGTATGTAGATGTCTCTACTTAAAGAGTCCTCTCCTGCTGATGTTCAGGTGTATATCAGTATGTAGTGTCTCTACTTTAAAGAGTCCTCTCCTGCTGATGTTCAGGTGTATATCAGTATGTAGTGTCTCTACTTTAAAGAGTCCTCTCCTGCTGATGTTCAGGTGTATATCAGTATGTAGTGTCTCTACTTTAAAGAGTCTTCTCCTGCTGATGTTCAGGTGTATATCAGTATGTAGTGTCTCTACTTTAAAGAGTCCTCTCCTGCTGATGTTCAGGTGTATATCAGTATGTAGTGTCTCTACTTTAAAGAGTCCTCTCCTGCTGATGTTCAGGTGTATATCAGTATGTAGTGTCTCTACTTTAAAGAGTCCTCTCCTGCTGATGTTCAGGTGTATATCAGTATGTAGTGACTCTACTTTAAAGAGTCCTCTCCTGCTGATGTTCAGGTGTATATCAGTATGTAGTGTCTCTACTTTAAAGAGTCCTCTCCTGCTGATGTTCAGGTGTATATCAGTATGTAGTGTCTCTACTTTAAAGAGTCCTCTCCTGCTGATGTTCAGGTGTATATCAGTATGTAGTGTCTCTACTTTAAAGAGTCCTCTCCTGCTGATGTTCAGGTGTATATCAGTATGTAGTGTCTCTACTTTAAAGAGTCCTCTCCTGCTGATGTTCAGGTGTATATCAGTATGTAGTGTCTCTACTTTAAAGAGTCCTCTCCTGCTGATGTTCAGGTGTATATCAGTATGTAGTGTCTCTACTTTAAAGAGCCCAGTCTGCTCTGATTGGTTAGCTGGCCAGCTCTGTTGTGATTAGTCAACCTCTTAGAGATGTCCCGCCCCTGCAGGGCTTATAAAAATGAGCAGCAGTCGCATTTTAATAAATTCTGACAGAAAGTGAGAGTCGCAGCGAGTTCTAAAGATGCCTCGGTGAAGTCACATGATCTAAATATAACTTCTGCGAGGCGTCTTCACACATTCCCCCCCCCCGACCGAGACCAGATAAAGTTAGACCCTGAAACTGTAGAGCCTCGGGCCCCCAGAGCACCATACAAGGAGTGTGAGAGTGTGTGTGTGTGTGTGTGTGTGTGTGTGTGTGTGTGTGTGTGTGTGTGTGTGTGTGTGTGTGTGTGTGTGTGTGTGTGTGTGTGTGTGTGTGTGTGTGTGTGTGTTTGTGTGTGTGGAGGGCTAGGTTGTATGTAACATAGCACTTGACTCATTAAAGAATGTGTTGGTTACTAATTATGGGATTGAAATCTGATTTTCTTCAGTCTTTTAATCGCACATCGTTAAGATTTAATATTACAAAATACTTGGATCACCCCCAGAGGGACTGATTATAATTCAAGAGAAATACTTCTCTAGAAAAGATGGGAACTATATACAATATTAAATCAGATCAAATTAAAATTAAAAGCACACACGAGGATGCTGTTATGAAGGCTATTTGAATTTTAAGATATTAATTATAACATCTTATTCATAAATAAATGTCTATTACGAGAGATACAGAGAATAGACTTAGTAGGTATATACATTGAAATAAGGTAGAAGATTAATAAATATATCATAAAGTATAAGGGGTATTAATATATCAACAATAGGATGTACAGTATAGACACTCAATCATTGTCATTTATATTACATTTTATTTTATATAATTTGAATAAATGAAAGGATCAATTTTAATTTAAAGTTATATCTTATTTAATGAAAATATATCAAAATGTATGGAAGTGAAATGATGCTGAAATTACTACTGCAAGTTTTTAAAACAATTATTTATGTATTTTTTTAGCACTACTGTATATCATTGATAACCAAGAAATAGAATAATAATTAAACACAAAATAATGGTCAATTATACTACATGTGTTTTTACAAATATCAATATTTTTCTTTAATATTATACTTAAAACAATTTAACACGGACATTTAAAGGTGGGGTAGGTAAGAATGGAGAAACCGGCTCGAGTGCGCTAGAATTTGAAAGTACACAACCGGAAAAAATCTGCCCCTTCCTTCAGACTTCCTTACAGAGCCCCTCCTCCAACACACACGAACGCGCACATGACCAATGAGGGCACGAGATAAGTTTGTGCACAGATGGAAGGCTGACAGGCAGGTAGGCCATCCAGTTACTTTAGCCGGGCCGGCTCAGATGATTGGTCGTGCTTTTTACAGTACTACAGCTTCCACTGATGAAATGTTTTAATGTATTTATTGTCAAAGCATTTAATATATTCATTGCTATCGGGATGTTCAGAGCATTCCATGGAATATAACAAAAAGTGTATCTGAAGTGAATTACCTACCCCACCTTTAAGAGAAGTCTGAATCAGGATTTAAATTTAAACTAAATGTACAATTATTTTTGATAAAAAAGACTCTTATAGATGAGAGTAACATCTACGTCACTTCTGGGCGAAAATTACGGCCCCGCCCACTTTTTGGGGAAAACCACGCTGTCATTTGAATGGCCGTCAATACAAATTCTGAAGTTTTTGCCAATCCGATCAGAATTTTTGGAAAACCGTGGATTTTTGGATCTTCAAAGAGCCCGATTACGATGGCCAGTCAGGCAAACAATTATATTCAATCATTGGAAATCGACGATCGGGCTCGATATATGGTTAAATTAAAGTCAGTAGGCGAGGCTGTAATTTCGCCAGCTGTTACTCTCGTGAGCGAGGCGGAAAATAATAGTTTTATCATGCCAACAAGCTGCTGTGCCATTTATTGCACCTCAAACATTACAAATAATAGAGAGTTACGTGTTTCTGTACTTCCTCTAAGAGAAAAGGAAAGTTACAGAAGAGCTCTGTGGCTTCAGGCTCGACAGCGTTGTTTCCCCCAAAAGTGGGCAGGGCCGTAAAGTGACGTAGATGTTACTCTCATATGGACATCGATCGCCTACTGCTATATTTAACCATATATCGAGCCCGATCGTCGATTTCCAATGATTTAATGTAATGTTTGCCTGTCTGGCCATCGTAATCGGGCTCTTTGAAGATCCACAAATCCACGGTTTTCTTAAATTTCTGATCAGATTGGCAAAAACTTCAGAATTTGTATTGACCGCCATTCGAATGACAGCGTTGTTTTCCCCCAAAAGTGGGCGGGGCTGTAATTTTTGCCCGGAAGTGACGCATGTGTTACTCTCATCTATTCTACGCTAACAAATCTCTTAATCTGATTATTTTCATTAAATGTAATAATATTTTGGACAATTAACATTAATTTGATTAACACATTTTAATCATATTTAATATTATTCATTTTAAAAGTACCCTAATTTTAGCTAATAATAATTTTTTGTGATTTTAAAAATGAAATCTAATAATATTTTTGACTTGATAATCAGATTGTGTGTGTGTGTGTGTGTGTGTGTGTGTGTGTGTGTGTGTGTGTGTGTGTGTGTGTGTGTGTGTGTGTGTGTGTGTGTGTGTGTGTGTAAATGCAAATGAAGACAGACCCACGTGATTCTCTTCCACATTGATTTTATTGTTCAGTGTGTGTTCCACTGAATGTGTTAAGACTTGTTATGGTGTGTGTTAGTGTGGGAACCTCCTCCGCCTCCATTCAGACAAAGACAAATACAAATAAAATCCTTTAAAAAGCTATTTTTTTCCTGCAGAGAGCCGCCTCGTCTCGGACAGATCTAACCTGCTGCTGCTCAGCCGTCACTTTCACCAACACCGTAAGTTCATTTTATAATAAATATAATAAGGACCCAGAGCAGCGTTTAGGTGGCCTCAAACATCTTCTTCCTGTCGGCCTTATCCTCAACGTTCTTACGCCAGTCGCCGGCAGCTTCTTGGGGCTGTAGAGGAGGAGAAACAACACGGTTTATCATCAAAATAATATTTAATATTATTTTTGATACATTTGATTGATTCGAAGGAGTCTGAAAAATATATTTAAAAAAAAAAGCTCTTTATTTTTCTCATACTGCAGCACCTCTTTTCACCCTCTGTCTGAAACCAGAGCCCAGTCTGCTCTGATTGGTTAGCTGGCCGGCGCTGTTGTGATCGGTCAACCGCTTAGAGATGTCCCGCCCCTTAGGGATCTGACCACCTCCACCATTGGATACATGATAAAAAGTAATAAACAAACAGTGCCTCACCTCCTCTTTGACCTCCTTCTTGACCTGCTTCAGGTTGGCTCTCAGGTCCATGTTCACGCTGTGTTTGGACCCCAGAAGAGCCTTCAACATGGCGTCAGCTGACATGCGCACTTTCCTCAGAGCGGGCTTCTTCACTCCTCTCAGATCCACCACTTTAATGTTCAGATCCTCAATCTACCGGAGAAAAGACCAACATAAGGTCTGTGGTTAACACAAGCTGAAGAGATACGTCAGTAAATACCCCACTGGTGATTTAAAAATGTTGGTTGCTAACAAGTGTCTAAATGAGACGACTAAACGTCATCACGCCCAACATTAGCCACCTTTAGCTTAGCGGTCGTGACGTGAAGTCATGTGACCGTGCTGTAGTTCCTTTATAGCCCAACATTAGCCTCCTTTAGCTTAGCGGTGGTGACGTGAAGTCATGTGACCGTGCTGTAGTTCCTTTATAGCCCAACATTAGCCACCTTTAGCTTAGCGGTGGTGACGTGAAGTCATGTGACCGTGCTGTAGTTCCTTTATAGCCCAACATTAGCCACCTTTAGCTTAGCGGTGGTGACATGAAGTCATGTGACCGTGCTGTAGTTCCTTTATAGCCCAACATTAGCCACCTTTAGCTTAGCGGTGGTGACGTGAAGTCATGTGACCGTGCTGTAGTTCCTTTATAGCCTAACGTTAGCTTTTTACTTCAGAAATCATAAAGTGGTGTTAATATGAGGAGATTATCCTGCTGAACTAAACGTGTCAGTCTCAAAAACGTTTGTATGACACACAGATTAATCCAAAATCACATGGAGGAGTCCCATTGGACCAGGGAGATGCTAACAGCTAACCTTGTTGTGTTTCATTGAGCAGAGATTGTTTACCTCTTTGTCGGCTTTGCCCACTTTGGACCCCAGGTCGTACCTCTCCTCATCAAGCTTGTCGAGGAGAGCGTGCAGCTTCTTGCAGGCTTCCTGTCAACACACAAATAAAAACATGTTCAAATAAAACATGTTCAAATAAAAAAGAATTAAATTAAAGAATTAGAAAATCAAAATAAAACATGTTCAAATAAAAGATATTTAAAACATTTTAAAACGTTTGGTGTTTATGTTTTTGCCTCCCTCTCACCATGAGGGTGGCCTGGTCCCCGCTCATGCTGGGTTTGACGCAATGCTCCGCCATGTACTCCTCCTTCGCCGCAATATCGGCAGCTTTCTCCTCGTCGAGCCACTTGGCCGCGATGGTGAGGATCAAACTCTGCGGGAGAAACAGGAGGAGAAGCTTTCAGTGTTTCAGAAAGATAACGGAGACTCAAGAAGAACCGTGCAACCATCTGGAAACTGGATCTAACCCGGAGGAGAAGATGGGGACAGCTGCTGGACAGTGAATGAAATAAAAAAACGAAAAATCTAATAAATGGGGCGAAATTAAATAAAATTGAATAAAATAATGTATAAATCTAAACACAAGAAATTAAATTAAGAATGTGCAAATAAAATACTAAACAAACATAAGAAGTTATATTAAGAATTTGTAATAAAATCATTAAAAAATATTTTCTGATTGATATTTATAGAAGCACAAGAAATTGCAGTAAATATTTCCAATAAATATAAATAAAAAAACAGAATAAAACATTTTATATTTATATGTATTTAAATACAAATATTCACATTTTACAAATACAGTCAATCAAAACTACATGCACAAGCTATTTAAGGAAATTACTGAGAATTTAAAATATATATATTTATATTTTTTTAAATCTTCAGTAGGAACCAATGGGATTTGATGACGACATGAACACATTTAAATATTTATCAATATTGTTGGGTGGCTGTGGCTCAGTGGGTAGTGTGCTGGACTTCAAATCAGGGGATAACAAGTTCGAGTCCCACTGCAGTCAGCATGTCGTTGTGTCCCTGGGAAAGACACTTCACCCCAAATTGCTTGTCCACAGTAAAAAGTATGTAAGTCGCTTTGGATAAAAGCGTCTAACTAAATGTCATGTCGTGTTCAGGAAAATCCTTGTTGTTTTTGAACCCGGATTGAGATGAAGGAGAAATGCAGATTAAATAAAACTCAGATTTATTTTCTCTTTACCTTCAGGGCATGCCTGCGGCTGGAGGTCATCTTTTTTCTGTTTGAAGAAAGTCAGAAAAACATCATGAATTAATTAAATATTTACTGTAGTAGTATGAGTACACAGTACTTCTTCCTCTGTACTCATACTACAGTAAAGTATCAGAGTACTTCCTAACCTCTGTCTGTATTCATGCTAACATTTAGTTGAGTTAAACACTTATTCTACCAGTGTAAGTACTAAGTATCAGACTACTTCTTCCTGTGTACTTATACTACACTAAAGTATCAAAGTACTCCTCCTCCTGTGTACTTATACTACAGTAAAGTAACAGAGTACTCCTCCTGTGTACTTATACTTCTCTATAGTATCAGAGTACTCCTCCTGTGTACTTATACTCCTCCTGTGTACTTGAACTACACTAAAGTACCAGAGTACCCCTCCTCCCGTGTACTTATACTTCTCTAAATTATCAGCGTACCCCTCCTCCTGTGTACTTATACTCCTCCCGTGTACTTATACTCATCCTGTGTACTTGAACTACACTAGAGTACCAGAGTACCCCTCCTCCTGTGTACTTATACTCCTCTAAAGTATCAGAGGACTCCTCCCTCCTGTGTACTTATACTTCTCTAAACTATCGTAGTACTCCTCCTGTGTACTTATACTCCTCCTGTGTACTCATACTCATCCTGTGTACTTATACTTCTCTAAACTATCGTAGTACTCCTGTGTACTTCTACTTCTCTAAACTATCGTAGTACTCCTCCTGTGTACTTATACTCCTCCTGTGTACTCATACTCATCCTGTGTACTTATATACTCCTCCTGTGTACTCATACTCCTCCTATGTACTTATACTCCTCCTGTTTACTCATACTCATCCTGTGTACTTATACTCCTCCCGTGTACTTATACTCATCCTGTGTACTTATACTACAGTAAAGTATCAGAGTACTTCTTCCTCTGAACTGGTACTTCTCTAAACTATCATAGTACCCCTCCTCCTGTGTACTTATACTCCTCCTGTGTACTTATACTCCTCCTATGTGTACTTGTACTCACTCAGACATGGTGGCGTGTTTTCTCTCCACACCCTGCATGAGGAACAGAGGAACAGAGGAACAGAGGAGAGACGAGTTAATTTGAGGAAACCTCTGAAGTCTTTTGACCTCTGAAGTGTTTTTGACCTCTGAGGTGCTTTTGACCCCTGCAGGGAGCCGTAGTTTCGGGTTTCGGGTGTCGGTGTGAGTTTCTCTCCGAGCAGCAGATTTTCTGACGGAGTATTTGAGGCGTAAGGCGATCCGAGGCCAGCTGGAGAGGAGCGGCGTCGCCTGAACTAAACTGGGAACGCCTCGAGTGTCCGGAGACGCAGAATCAGCGAAGGGTTAAATATGAGGAATATATCCGAAAATAAACTTCATCCAGAAAACACTTTGAGTATTTCCTCTAAGTCATTAATTCATTTCTAATTTAATTACATTTTTTCAATTTGTTTTTTTCAAATAATTATCTCAGTGTTTCATTATTTTATTTTACAATTGAATTTTTTTTCCTAGTTTTTTTAAATAATGAAACAACTAAATTGATAAAGCACATACACACAAAAAACTATAAAAATGATCAACACATCACAATCAAAACAGCTGCTTTACATAAATGCATAAGTATATATTTTTCAATAGTATACTTTATAAAGGGTAATTTTGCATAAGAAGTACTTTTACTTTAGGTACTTTAATCCAATTTGATTGCTAATATTAATTAATACATTGATTTTTTTCAGTGACTTCTCAAAGACCCACATTTAAACGCTTTAAAAGCCGCACAGTGTGGATTGTTTAAAGTTTTATTACATTTAAATTAACACATTTAGACACTTAATATAAAAACTGATAAGAGCCAAGAAGTGAAATCTCCCTGCCGACACTGAGACGAATAAACGTATTAATATACTCAGCCTTCCTTCCATTTTAACGACCAATGAACAGAGGATTAATGCAACCAATGAAACACTTCTACCTTCAAAAAACTGCACACATGTTTACGGTTTAAGAGTTCAATCAATGCATTCAGCTTGTTTTTGTTTCACCGTGATATTATTCTAAACCTCTCAGTAACTCAGACATCATAATGACACCTCGGTATTTTAGCCGTCTGACAGTTTGAGGACTTGCATTGACTCTCTGTGAGCCTCAGCACCATAAAACACAAAGAGTACAGCGCCCGTAAATCCATTTCTGTCGAGGAAACGGGTCGAACGTCTGCAGCGAACACGCAGAAGGCGAGTCAGGAAGGGTCAGGCAGGTGGAGGAACACGAGGATATAAAGTCTGCAGGGATTAAATCAGAGATGCTGCTCTCAGAGAAGCTCCTGTAAAGAGACTGGAATATCCAAAAAGAAGAGTATACCTCACCTATTAAAGAGACGAAGGAGAAGCGGAGCGAGACACACTTGTAGAAGAAACGGAGGCACTGCCAAAGCTACACAGTGGAAAGTGAAATCGGGTATATATGGTGGGTTGCGATGTCTCAGCAAAACGCTCACATCCTCTTTAGGGAAATGGAATTCCCTGATCGACCAATGGGCCGGCGAGATCCTTAAAATACACTGAGCTGCAAAACGCCCTCCCAGAGAGCAGGCTTCAAAATGCAGATTCACACAAGAGGAGGGGGGGGGATATAAAAGAACATAAACAAGAGTAAACTAGGCCATTATCTGACCTTAATAGCCCTGCTTTAAAAACACCTTTATTTCCAAAAAAGTCCATTAAATAAACCCTTAAAGTTGTTTTTGAAGAAAGATCTTCCATTTCAATCCATCTTCTCACCAAAGAACGAATGCAACTTTAACACTAACTTTTTAAACATTTCTGTTTGTGAAATCCTAATAAAAAGCCAATTTCAACATTTTTAATGATTGAGTCCAGTCTTCTTGTTAAGATGGATTTGGTATAGATCCTCTCATCACAAAAGTATTTCATAAAACTCTTTAATTTAATTTAAAATGTATAAAAGATTAAAAAAGTTAATTAACAGAAAACAGTTGCTTCATTAGAAAGATATATATTTATTTTGATTGTTTGCCAAGTTTTATTTGCATTTCTGTCTGCCAACAAAAAGACATGAAGAAGTGTTTTGGTATTTTTTGGGGAATTATTTATGAAAAAAACTAAAGTAGGGTAATAATTTATTTTTTAATTATTGGCACACTTTCAAAATAGAAATGTAAACAAAATCGAATTGGTTTTTTGTCCTTTTCTAAATACGTCCTTTGAAGTATTTCCCTAACCTTTTGATTGTTTACCCAGATGTATTTACACTTGAAAAGACATAATGAAATATATACAGGCCCGGCATATGTACTACAGTGTCTCCAGCGGTTTCGAGCGGTTTCGTGACGGAAGACCTTTTTTAAATCGACTTCGGTTCGAAATCGGTTTCGTCTCCTAGGGCAGAAACTGTGGCCACCAAATCTTTTTTGTGGATTTACAGACCAAGCAGCAACTGACTTTTGCATCAAAAAAATGGACGTTAACATTTAGGATAACTATAGCAGGTAGAGTTGATTGGACAATTAATATAATTAATATACAGAATTTAGACCACATCACAATCCCAAATAGGCGCTAGGACACTGAAATCTCGCAACAACAAAAAATGTGTTCCCCCTTAGATTTTTTCCCCCTAAATGTCTCTTCCGGGTCTCCATAGGTTTTCAAGTTTTCCAAAGTCTAAATGCCTTAATGCTTTAAAACCTTAATTAAAGGGTCAGTTTGGTACAGAAAACAGAATAAGGAGTGGTTACTAAACAGATAAATGTAACAAACAAATAATCCTTATTTCAAAACATTTATTTCTAATGACTTCATGAAAACCTGTACATTTTAAAATGCTGTTTTTTCTTTCAGACATTTTAGCTACGTACACGTTGGCGTTACTTGGTGTTGATTCAGTCTGTCGGGGGGGGGGGGGGAAGCTATCACAAAAAAGAAAAGAAGAAAAAGTCTAATCTGTAGACGTCTCCTCCTCGAAACCTTCGGGAAAACTTCTTAGGAAGCCTCGAACATCTTCTTCCTGTCGGCCTTATCGTCAACGTTCTTACGCCAATCCAGCGCTTCCGGCGTCTGCAGAGAAAAACAATTCATTAATTAACACCACAACCTTTCATGCAAAGTGCACTTTTTGATGTCTATTATACGTAAATATGTGTCCCCGGTGTGTAAGGAGAAAATAAAATGGGTTATCTTTTTGGTATTTTGAGCAAAACACCTCATAGACATGTTTTTTATATATCTGAGACCTATAGATGAGAGTAACACCTACGTCAATCCCGGGCAAAAAGTACGGCCCCGCCCACTTTTGGGGGAAAACAACGCTGTCATTTGAATGGCGGTCAATACAAATTCTGAAGTTTTTGCCAATCCGATCAGAAATGTAAGAAAACCGTGGATTCTTGGATCTTCAAAGAGCCCGATTACGATGGCCAGACAGGCAAACAATTATATTAAATCATTTGAAATCGACGATCAGGCTAATCTATCATCTGCATAACTGGATATTTTATAATCTGTATAAAACAATACTTTAGGAGTTTTTTTTTATGATTTTAGATTAAAAAAGTAGATTTTAATGCAAGACTTGTGCTTTATTTAGAGGATGTTTACATTGTGGAATGGTCATTCAATTAAATAATCCTAATATTTCTTGAGGTCTGAAATGCAAAAAATGTCCCACATTAGGGCAATTCACCATACTTAACCCCAAATAAAAGGACCCAATAAAAAGAGTTGTTAAATAATAGTGAAGTCACGTTGTAATAACAATAACTCATCTCTCGGTTTGAGTGTTCATTTTCTGCTTTGCCAAAAGCCACTGTGTCTAGTGACTATTTCTCTTTGCGGATGTATGTCAATTTAAATCAATACATACAACTATTTTTTAAATCAATAAAAACATTTTCTAAATCCATAAAAGCATTTCAATTAATATTGGGAGTCATGTCGTTACTTTGTTGAGAATGTGGCCATGTAATAAACGGGATAATTTGCAGCGACTTGGTCATTGTGGGGAAAAATAACACCCGTCGGGATCCTGATCTGCCTGACAAGGCTCCATTAAAATATAAATATTTTTAGTGAATTACTGAGTTTAGGCACGTTAATAACGTTTTAATGAAGTTGAATACAGAATATTCATATTTGTCAGTGATTTCATGTCAATTTGGCGAACATAAACATAAATGATCGTGGTGAAGATGATGATTAAATTAGGATTAAAAATCGAGAGCCGGCTGCATTTCCTCTCGTTCGTTTTTTTCGACTAAACAACATTATTTTGTTAAATAACAACATGGTGATGTTTTGTAAATGATTACATGTCTCTTATTTAGCACAGACTATGATCCTATCCGTGACATATGGATCTTAACAAAGATCCGCTATACAGTAGTACCAGACATACTGTACATCCAGTTTACTGTATCGAAGTTGTTTTCACATGAGCTCCAGTGTGGAACCCCACTGCACCCCCTGGTGGATCAATGATCCATTGCAGCTGGCTTCATTATAATTACATTTATTTATCACAGGGGCGGTCTCAAGTCAAACTGGAGGTTGTCTCTTGATCGAGGGCCCTCGCGTTTCAAACTGTCCTAAATTAGGTGCTACATCTGTATGAACAAAATGGCTTCAATATAAAAGGATCAACGACAGAAAAGTCAGAAATATTTGGAATGATCAGTCACAGGAGACATTTAACTGCAAGTACTTTTAAATTGTGTTGGTACATTTAGCGGTCTGTAATGATTTGTTACAGCTAAAGATAGCATTGCTAACTAGCTAGCTAACTAACAGCTACAATCGCCACTTCCTGTCGTGTTTGTTTTGAGACAATGCTACCCTGTCGAAATGCACACACTGTTTACCTGTGTTTAAGCCACCTTTCATTTTATTTGGGTTAATTTAGCAGTCTGTAATCATTTGGTACCATACACAATAACATAGATAGCGAGCTAACTTGCTAACAGTGGCGCTGGTCACTTCCTTTAAGGGGGGGGGGGGGTCAGCAGCCGTGTTTAATTTGAGACAACGCTCAATGGTGGAAATTCACACACACGGCATACTGGTGTCCTAAAGAAGCCACTGATAATTTATTTGGGTTAATTGACCAGCCTGTTATTATTAGTTACCGCAAATAGCGTAGCTAGCTAGCTGACAGCAGCATTCGTTACTTTATTTGAGGGCACAGCTGTCATGTTTGATTTGAGACAATGCTACCCTATTGAAATTCACATACGGTATACTGGTGTTTAAGCCACCTTTAATTTAATTTGGTTGATTTAGCAGTCTGTAATAATTTGGTACCATACACAATAGCGTAGCTAGCTAGCTAGCTAACTTGCTAACAGTGGCGTTTGTCACTTCCTGTGAGGGGGGGTGACAGCAGCCGTGTTTATATTGAGACAACGCTACCCTGTCGAAATTCACACACTTTATACTAGTGTTTAAGCCAACTTTCAGTTTATTTGGGTTAATTTAGCAGTCTGTAAGGATTTGGTACCGTACTCAATAGCATAGATAGCTAGCTAGCTTGCTAACAGCGGCGTTTGTCACTTCCTTTGAGGGGAAAGCAGCCCTGTTTTATTTAACACACGGTACTGGTGTTGTAAAGAAGCCACTGATCATTTATTTTGGTTAATTGAGCAGTCTGTTATTATTTGGTACTGCAAATAGCGTAGCTAGCTAGCTAACAGCGCCATTTGTCAGTTCCTGTGAGGGCACAGTCGTCGCGTTTAATTTGAGACAACACACAATGGTGAAAATTCACACACTGTTTACTGGTGTCAAATCAAATCCACCTTTCATTTTAATTAGTTAATTTTGCCATCTGTAGTGATTTGGTAACATACACAATAGCATAGATAGCTAGCTAACAGCGGCGTTTCTCACTTCCTTTGAGGTCACAGTTGTCACGTTTGATTTGAGACAATGCTACATGGTACAAATTCACTCGTCGCACAAGTGAACAACATGCAGTGTACTAAGGGAAGTATCTGAATTGAATCAAAGCGATAGAAACTGTAGAGCTAATTTCAAGCTTCTGTGATCATGCGTGCTCCTTCCTCACCTCCTCTTTGACCTCCTTCTTGACCTGCTTCAGGCTGGACCTCAGATCCATGGTCACCTTGTGTTTTCCTCCCAGCAGAGCCTGAAGCATGGCGTCTGCAGACATACGCACTTTCTTCAGAGCGGGTTTCTTCACTCCAGCCAGATCCACCACCTTCATCTTCAGGTCTTCAATCTGAGGCACAGAAACATCTCAACGTGACTTTATATCAAGCTAATGCTAACGCTACATCCGCTGGAGAAGGAACAAGTGATTTAATGCCAGGTAAACTTCAGATAGCAGCTGATTTTGTTACTGATTCTTCATAATAACAGACCAAACACTACAGTGGTGGTTCTTATGGATTACAGAGTTATGATGAGCGTTCACAAGTAGCAGGAAAAAGTGGTAAAAACCTGCAAAAAACAACTAATCTACAACAACATCGGAGTATTAATTTGCCAAAACAGATAACAGCCGTTCTTTCAGGGAAATATTTGACTTTTATTGCACTATATTTATCTTAAAAGTTTATGTTACTGTTCAGATTCAGATTAAAAATACAAAATATCAACTAAAAAGTGAATATGTATTCGTATAGTTTTAGCCACCCAGCAGAATTCAAAGTTTTTAACAATTTGTGGTTAACATATTTTGCAACAACAACAATCAATTCAATATTGTTATCAAATTGGGACATCCTCCATAATGAGGACGTTTTTATATTTCAGTAAGACGTTAATGTCTAATAAATACGTTTGTTGGGTAACACTTTAGATTAAGGTACACAAATTCACCATCAACTAGTTGTTAATTAACATGCATATTATCAGTATATTGGCTCTTTATTAGTCATTATAAAACACTTATTAATGCCTTATTCTACATGACCATATTCTACAAGTAATAAGCCATTAGTTGAGAGTTTTTCCTCAATAACCCTCTAATTAGTGCTTATTGATTGCAAGTAATGAAGTTGTTGTACATGAGTTGTGGTCTTAATATGCGCTGCTCAATATGGGCCTAATAAGGCAGTAGTACCACAAGAATAGTAATTCTCCCATAATAACACTTAACAAATATGATCTATTCTTATGTAACAAGACATGAAACGATAAGTGTTAATTAAGTCTAAATAACTCAAAATGAGGTATTTCTAACTCAGAACATGTTCCCTATTTTAAAGTGAAGTCTTGTTCATAATAACACATAAGATAGTAGTTATAGTAGCGCTATAAAAATAACATGTATTATTATTATTATTATGTAAATTAACAACTAGTTGATGGTGAATAAGTGTACCTTAATATAAAGTGTTACCGTGTGTTGTATATTTCAGTAGTACGTTGACTGCTATGTTGTCTAATAAACATGTTCTTTGTATATTTCATTACCTCTAAGTCGCTCTTCTTCACTTTGGCCTCAGCGTCGTACCGTGAGTCGTCGAGCTTATCCAGCGCCTGGTGCAGCTTCTTGCAAAGCTCCTGACGACACACGAAAAAACAACAAAGAACGATTTCAATGCAATACTTTTACTGTGAAGTATTTTCCGTGTGGTCTTAGTATTTAAAGTATTGTATTAGTACTCTTTCAGTGTGTTATCAGTACTTCTTAGAGTGGTATTAGTATCTTTAGAGGGGTATTAGTATTTAAAGTGTTGTATTAGTATGGTTTCAGTTTGTTATCAGTACTTCTTAGAGTAGTATTAGTACTTCTCAGTGTGAAATTAGTACTTTTTTGTGTGATATTAGTATTTTCTTAGTGGTATTAGTATTAAAGTGTTGTATTAGTACTCTTCCAGTGTGTTATCAGTAATTCTTATAAGTAGTATTAGTACTTCTCAGTGTGCAATCAGTACTTTTTTGTGTGATATTAGTATTTTCTTAGTGGTATTAGTATTTAAAGTGTTGTATTAGTACTCTTTCAGTGTGTTATCAGTACTTCTTAGAATAGTATTAGTACTTCTCAGTGTGATATCAGTACTTCTTTGTGTGATATTAGTATCTTTAGAGTGGTATTAGTATTTAAAGTGTTGTATCAGTACTCTTTCATTGTGTTATCAGTACTTCTTATAAGTAGTATTAGTACTTCTCAGTGTGAAAGTAGTACTTCTTTAGTGTGATATTAGTATTTTCTTAGTGGTATTAGTATTTTCTTAGTGGTATTAGTATTTAAAGTGTTGTAATAGTACTCTTTCAGTGTGTTATCAGTACTTCGTAGAGTGGTATTAGTACTTTTGGTGTTGTATTAATATTTGTTCAGTATGTTATTAGTGTTAGAGTAGTATAAGTACCTCTCAGTGTTGTATATATATTTTTTCAGTGTGTTATTAGGGGTATTAGTATCTTGAAAGTAGTATTAGTATTTTCAGTGTGGTATTAGTACTTCTTTAGTGTGATATTAGTATTTTTTATGTGATATGAGTACGTTTTCAATGTTGTGTAGGTATTTTCAGTTTGGTATACATACGTTGGGAGTGGTATTAGTATTTGTTGTGTGTTAATATAGTTCAAAGTGTGATATTATATTATTTTCAGTGTGGTATCAGTATTTTCAGTGTGGTATTAGTACTTGTTTAGTGTGGTATTAGTATTTTTTGATGTGGTATGAGTACGTTTTCAATGTTGTGTAGGTATTTTCAGTTCGGTACACGTACTTTAGGTGTGGTATTAGGCTTTCAGTGTCATATTAGTCCTATTTGGTGTAGTATTAGTATTAACAGTGTGGTTTTAGCATTTGTCCACATTGTGTTGGTTGTGGTATTAGTGATTTAAGTATTGTATTCATTATTTTTCAGACTGTTATAAGTGTTTTTATTAGTATCTTGAAAGTAGGATTATTATTAAAGTGTGGTATTAGTGTTTACAGTTTGATTATATATTTTAAGTGTGTTAGTTAGTATTTACAGTGTGGTATTAGTACTTTTTTAGTGTTGTATTAGTCATTTGTATTGTGTTAATATAGTTTAAAGTGTTATTAGTATTAGTATTATATTATTTTCAGTGCGGTATTAGTATTTTTGGTGTGGTATTAGTATTTTTCAGTATGGTATTAGTACTTCTTTAGTGTGGTATTAGTATTTTTCAGTATGGTATTAGTACTTCTTTAGTGTGGTATTAGTATTTTTCAGTATGGTATTAGTACTTCTTTAGTGTGGTATTAGTATTTTTCAGTATGGTATTAGTACTTCTTTAGTGTGGTATTAGTATTGTTGATGTGATATGAGTACGTTTTCAATGTTGTGTAGGTATTTTCAGTTTGGTATACATACTTTAGAGGTGTATTATTATTTTTAATATAGTTCAAAGTGTGATATTATATTATTTTCAGTTTGTTATACGTGTTTTTAGAGGTGTATTTGTATTTTCAGTATGGTATTAGTACTTGTTCAGTGTGGTATTAGTATTTTTGATACTTTTTAATATATTTTTGTACGTTTTCAATGTTGTGTAGGTATTTTCAGTGTGTAATTTGTGTTTTTAGAGGTGTATTAGTAATTTATGTGTGGTATTAGTACTTCTTTAATGTGTAATTAGTGTTTTTAGAGGTGTATTAGTCATTTTTAGTGTGTGTGTGTGTTTAATATAGTTTAAAGTGTTATATTATATTATTTTCAGTGTGGTATTAGTATTTTTTTGTGTGTTAATATAGTTTAAAGAGTTATATTATATTATTTTCAGTGTGGTATTAGTACTTCTTTAATGTGTTATTACTGTATCAGTACTTCAGGTGTCGTATTAGTATTACAGAGTATCTCCCTCACCTGCAGGGCGGCCATGTCTCCTCCCAGGTCGGGGTTAGGAGCGTTTTCAGACATGTACGCCTCCTTGGCGACGATGAGCTCCTTGTTCTCCTCCTCGATCCAGCCGGCGGCGATCTGAAGGATCAAACTCTGCAGGAGGAGAGGAAATATAATGGCAGATACTTAAAATAAAACACTGGAAACACAACGTTAGTGAGGCGGAAATGAAGTGTCTATTCAAGGATTCAAGGCTTTTATTGTCATGTGTGCATTAAGTGTAGATATGTCAATGGAAATCTGAGGTCACAGGCTCCTCCAACAGAGCAACACAATAAAACAGATAACAGTGCAAGTAGATAAAATAAGATAAAATATAGTGCAGAATGGTCTATTTACAGTAATTGGAATATTGATATATATGAGTTGCAAACAGATGAATGTTATGGACGTTCTTTCAAAAGTTCAGGTGTTTAACAGTCTGTTTATTCTCACCTTCAGATGATGCCTGCGGCTGGACGTCATTTTCTTTACACTGTGGGACAGAGATTCATGAAGAATAAATTAAAGGATTACATGTATTAACTATCTGTTATACTATGCCATGATGTCTACCTCATATCCCCTGATTGTGTAAGAAAAAATAAGGAAAAAGTGCAAGAATTATCAATTTTAGCATCTTTTTAAGAGTGTAAATAAATGAGAAAATCGTATCTATATATACACGTTTCTGGAAAAAAGCATAATAGACTCATATAATTGTCGTTTATTTAAAGATATTTACAAAAATGTAAGGTATTGTTGGTCATTTTTAAGTTGGACTGGAAACAGCTCGCTAAATATGGAATAAAAACCCCAACTTTCCCTATAAAATGTACAATTCTTCACCATTTTAGCAAAACATTTATTACACAATTTAATCCATTAAAATTGTGTTTCAGTGTAAAAAAAAAAAAAAGTTTAATTTAAGAATAATTCTTGAAATCAAACTGCAAACACTTAAATTATTAACATGACAATAAAATGCTTCTTTAAATACCCCGAGAGAATAAATATTAATTATAGCCGAGGCTCAGACAGCTGCTGTCATCTGAAGCTGCCGGCTGACCTTCAGCTCACACATGTGTTCACTTCACTTTAGCATGTGAAGACATGTCTCTGACACGCGGAGACATCTAAAGAACTATTAGAGTCCCAAAGAAGCAGCTCAACACTTACACTCTAGTTTTAAAATTGCAGAACTCTATAAGGATGTTTACGGAAACGTTTTCAATGGTTGTGAGATGATGTTTGAGGCCGCTGGAGTTTTTGTCACTTATAGGCGCTTTTGGACTAAATATGTCAGTCAATTTGATATGATGAAGGCATCGAGACAACGCTGACTAATTAAGCTACTGAAATCATATAAAAAAGGATGTGAAAAGAGCGAATATTAGGGGATTTACAGCAACTTTAAGCTATTTTTTCTTCAGCAGATTTTAAACCACCTCTACACTGTAAGAAGTGATGATGTCATACATTCTGAACATTCCGTCCCAGACACACCCAAATGTGAAAATGTCACCAAACTTAAACTGGGATTTTAGGGAATACCGTTCCATCTATGAAAAAAACCTTTTAGTCCAATAAAGTGGAGAGTCTGGAGAGCTGTTTAAACTTTTAGTCTCTTTTCTACGTGAAAGTATGGCGAATCAGTACGACCTCAAATTTGGATGATTTAGTGCTCTGATCAGGCGTTTCCCAATCATTCGGGGACAAGTTTGCAGTATTTTTTAAATCACAGGACACGACTGCCTGCCGATCATTACGCACGTTTTGATGATTTGATGATATTTGGAGAAACACTGTGAATTGTACACCTTTACAGTTTGTGATGTTAATCCCTGTGAATAATCCTATAACTAGAGACAGCGTGCTGTAACACAATCTGACTGGTGTTTACATCCAAGACATATTGAGAGATTAACAGGAATTCAATCAAATAAATTAAGTGTTTATTATTATTATTATTATTATTATTATTACAATCATTATATTTTACTTATACTTATAACTTACTTATTTTTTTGCTTTTTTATTGTATTTGTTAGACTTTTTTTATAAATATGTTCCTATTACTGTATGATTTTACTCTCTATTTTATATCTTTGAATCAGGTTGTTTGACTCTACCTACATGTGTATGCAAAATGCTTTAATTAATAAAACTGTCGTGCCTTAAATCAATTCATTAAATGGCAGTAAATGAATAGAAAACCAAAATAAAATGCTGTAAAGACAGTTTTAAAGATGAAAAACAACAAGCAAACTGTCCAAAGTAAATCCAATTAACATCAGACGTTAATGAAACGTCCCTAATTGAAGGCAGGTTGAATACCCATCGTTGTACTCACTCAGACATGTTGGCTGCTTGTGTTCTTCACACCCTGTTCGGAGACAGAAAACAGTTAAATATGAGCAGACAGGTCACATGACGCTCCGTGTTATCAATCAGCGACCTTTGAACCATGAAACACGATCTGCATCCCGATCTCGGAAAACCAGCTAATTTTAAACGGGCCGGGGGGGGGGTCGCGCTCTTTACTCCAAGCCTCTGAAAAACATGCCTGACGGGAATTCTAAGTTCTTCCTGGGCTCCAGAAATGTGGCGCTGAGCACGAGGAGCGAGTCGTGAATCATTCCAAACATCCTGAAGGCACGCGGCGTCGAGGTGTGACCGGGAAACATTTAGAGAATCAGAAATCAAGGACGAATAAACGACGGAGGCTTTGAGGGCTGAAGAAAGAGCCGTTATGAAGCTTAACAGCGTCCACAGTTAGTAGAAGTGCATTAACACATAAGAAACTCAACTTTAAATCATTAAGAGGACATTTTTCTTCAGATGAAATCTCTTTTTTACAATATCAAACTTGAGTCACAGCAACACAAACAACTACATACCAAAAAACTCATTAAATTCACAAATCCTTATTAAAGATCTCATTAATTTAACGCTTTATAGCAAAAAGTCCGCCTGATTTTAACGCAGTTTTTCAAGAATGTCCCCAGGAGAGAGTTACGTCATTTGCTTCGGATGATAGTGAGTGTTCAATTAGTGCATATCCAATTAATAATTTCAAAATAAAAGCCTCTTGTGCGTGCAGACACATGCAAGCTTTCCACAGACAAGCAAACAAATCAACAGATTATATATAAATCTATTTTTGTGTAGTTTTAAATGAAACTTTTCCTCGAATTAATTACATTTTCACACAATAACTTTGAGCAAAGATATTCAACATCAAACCCCTTAAAAGTGCCCTTGATTGATTTAAGTTAAGGGTATTTAAAACACTACAATAAATCAAGCAGCATCACAGAGAGCTGATACATCTCAGATATCCAGACTTTAACCGGAAATCTCCCGTTAAATCCACACACATGCCGTCACACCTGAAACCCCTTAAATCCCACCTGCTGGAGTTATAAAGTAATTTAAAAAGACTTTGTTAAGTGGAAAATTAGTATGAAAATACTTTGTTAAGTGGAAAAGTAGTCTTAAAAAAACTATGATAAGTAAAATAGTTATTAAAAAATACTTTGTTAAGTAAAAAACCATTCTATAAATACTTTGTCACCGTGACTTTAAAAGCTCTGAAATAATTACTTTTCAATTAACTCAAAGAAAAATTACAAAAAAAAATCTTGTTTAGTTTTCCAATATGTTAAAAAAACAAACTGGTACAAAAGACTTACTGACGGAGGAAGACGAAGAGGTGCCAGGTCCCGAACAGTACAGATTATCGGGGTATATAGGGTGTGAAGCGCTGACTCAGCAGAAAGGAGACCCTCTGTATGGTAACGGAGCACCTGAGGACCAATCAATGAAGAGCCTGGAAACCTCCCAGACTCCCAGGAAACTCCTAAATGTGTCTCCTCCCTAATTCCACTTACAGTATAGGACGGGACGGGGGGGCAATTGTTACCAGGGTGGGGGGCTTATATACTTTACTGGAGGATATGTAGTGTAGGTCTGGAACAGCTCCATTACAGGTAAAAGTAGTTAGGAAACATTAAAGCGAAAAACTGGACGTGATTTTTTTAAAACTAGATATTTTCCTCTCGAAACGCTGAAATCAGAAAAGGCTCCAACATTACCTTCTCTAACTTTTCTAACAGCAAACACACTTTAATAATTCAACTGGAGACGCAAGCACGTTTTCAATTAATAAGATCCCACATTTCTCGGTGCAGGATTTTTTGCTAAATTGCTCAAATAAACTCCCATATTTCCATTTGATGGATTAGTGCAGCTCCTGGTGAGAATATGTGTTGCTGTGATATAATCAGGAGGGACACACACAGTTAAAACACCAAACTTCATGCAGAATCTCATCAAAGTGCGGCGAGACGAGGAGGAGAGACTCACCGACTGTCGAGCTTCTTCTTTGAGAGGTAGAAGAGGGATTTTGATGAAGATATTTGGCATTTATTTAAGGGGTTAAGTAGAGATGATGTGCAGAAAGGAGGCTCTCTGCTGACCTCTGCTGCTCCAACACCAACACAACACTTTCTAATTCTGTGCCAAAATGTATATTTACGGTTTGAATGAAAGATAAAGAGGCTCAGAAACAGCTTCTTCTGATTTAAAATAAGCCTCTTGTTCTACGTGAGACTTCAAGCACCACAACCTGTTTTAAATAAACCCTCCTTAAATAAACCCTCCTTAAATAAAACCCCCAACTAGTTCCCAATAAACTGCAGTGTGACAGCATTGCCTTCTTCCAAAAATAATTTAATGGCACAGGTTAGTTTTTGCATAGGAAAGCTGAGGTGTAACAAAGTCTTTAGGCGGTCTCGAACATCTTCTTCCTGTCGGCCTTATCCTCGATGTTCTTACGCCAGTCGCCCGCCGCCTCTGCAGGCTGGAAGAAACAACACAAAAATCACCGTAAAAAAATAGACAAAATGATAAAACGGTGTCTGATCACGTCGGAAATCTGCCTAGCAACAGCAAGGACAGAGAGTACCTGACCTCCCTTTGTATTAATAGATCAATAATGTCATTGTTAGCTAATGAATGTTTCCATTGCTACGGCAACATGACAACGTTTTCATTGGTCCCTCTTCTTTAGAGAAGACCAGGAAATGATGGATACACGGATCGTGTTCAAATCAATAGGCACGCAATGACTCTAAATAATAATGATCACGCCACCAAACACACATTCAAACTAAAGGAACCAGCCTGTTTGGGAAATGTGAGAAGTAGAAAGTACAGGTATTTGAGTTCAACATGTAAGAAGTAGAAAGTACAGGTATTTGGGTTCAACATGTAAGAAGTAGAAAGTACAGGTATTTGTGTTCAACATGTAAGAAGTAGAAAGTACAGGTATTTGTGTTCAAAATGTAAGAAGTAGAAAGTACAGGTATTTGTGTTCAAAATGTAAGAAGTAGAAAGTACAGGTATTTGTGTTCAAAGTGTAAGAAGTAGAAAGTACAGGTATTTGTGTTCAACATGTAAGAAGTAGAAAGTACAGGTATTTGTGTTTAAAATGTAAGAAGTAGAAAGTTCAGGTATTTGTGTTCAAAATGTAAGAAGTCAAAGTAAAAAGTCGTCAGAAAAATAAGTAGTGGAGTAAAGTACTGATACCAGAAAAATGTACTACAACGAAGTATGTGTACAACACTACTTCCCACCTCTGCCTATACAGCACCGGGGAATATTCTGCATATCTATGTGGTTTAATTTGATTTATTTGGACAACATGTATCCGCATTTCAAATGAAAACGCAGTGTTTTCTGACCTCAAATTGTGCAAATACAACATTTAATTTATGAAACTGCAACTACTTTGATACATCCTGTTTATATTTTAGTGGTTGTAGGATGTTTTTTTTTAGTGTATTCCTACTTATTCTGTATATTTACCCATTTTGAGTAAAAGTCAGAATTTTGAGTTTTGGAGAAAAATACCAACAAATTCTCTTTTTTAGTTTTGACTACTTCCATTCTTGAGAGGATAATAAATACATGGATCCTGATATTGAAGCTCAAGCCGGTGATGAGTGATATTTTTCTAACCATGTACAAAATGTATTTTCTTTGTGCCATGTTTTTATAATACTGTTTGAGTTCCTCACCTCCTCTTTGACCTCCTTCTTGACCTGCTTCAGGCTGGACCTCAGATCCATGGTCACCTTGTGTTTTCCTCCCAGCAGAGCCTGAAGCATGGCGTCTGCAGACATACGGACCTTCTTCAGAGCGGGCTTCTTCACGCCGGCCATCTCCACCACCTTCATCTTCAGGTCCTCAATCTGCACAAACACAAAGGAGACGGTTAGCGCTGCAGATCAGGAAGTAGACAACAAACTCCCTGATTCTGAGGGGCTTTCCCATCTCTACTGCATCATTGATTTACTTTAGATTGTATTTAACTGCACTTTATTTCATGTGCAAAGGCAAGACAAGTGTATTTATATAGCACCTTTCAACACAAGGCAATTCAAAGTGCTTTACAAAAATGAAAGACATGGCAAAAATGGCAGTCGTCCACCAATCTGATGGTTCCAGTTGTACTGGGAAGTGGGAAAATCTGAGTTCTCAGTAAGTAACTTCAACTGCAACGCCTCCTTAGGTCGGACTTCCTACTTGGAAACTCAGAGAAACGTTGGCATACCTGAGATCAACATTCAAAATGGAGTCTCAGCATATAAACATTAAGAGAACACTTTGAGAAGATTTTTAGCACTTCTATATTATTTGTGTCACATTAAATAAACTGTTCATGTGATTCTGCTGATATATCTGTGGATATGTTGCTCAATGTTTGAACTTGAACTTTTTTCGCCTTGTTTACAGCTTTAGCATCACCTCGGGTTAGCCATTGTTAGCAGGTTGATAACTACGCTTTATTTAGTGTTCCGTGAAAACAAACATCGTAGCAACATATCCCGGGATAGAAGATAAGCAGAACTATATGTAGAGTTGATTTAAATGTGACAGAAATAATACAGAAGAGCCAAAAATGTTAAGTTATCGGACTGTTTTCTTAATGTCCACATTCAAAATGGAGTCTACACTCCACTATTGGATGTTTGCGAGGAACTATTTATACAAGGTTTCAAAGTTAGTTTCATTCGTCAAGGGTTTAATAACTTCCTGTTGGAGGTATATTGACTTCCTTTATAGGGTTTGATGATGGTTTAATAACTTCCTATTGGAGAGTTTATTAAATTCCTGTTGGATGGTTTAATAACTTCCTTATAGGGTTTAATAACTTCCTGTTGGATGGTTTAATAACTTCCTGTTGGATGGTTTAATAACTTCCTGTTGGAGGGTTTAATAACTTCCTGTTGGATGGTTTAATAACTTCCTATTGGATGGTTTAATAACTTCCTGTTGGATGGTTTAATAACTTCCTATTGGATGGTTTAATAACTTCCTGTTGGATGGTTTAATAACTTCCTATTGGATGGTTTAATAACTTCCTATTGGAGGGTTTAATAACTTCCTATTGGATGGTTTAATAACTTCCTATTGGATGGTTTAATAACTTCCTATTGGATGGTTTAATAACTTCCTATTGGAGGGTTTAATAACTTCCTGTTGGATGGTTTAATAACTTCCTATTGGATGGTTTAATAACTTCCTGTTGGATGGTTTAATAACTTCCTATTGGAGGGTTTAATAACTTCCTGTTGGATGGTATATTAACTTCCTATTGGATGGTATATTAACTTCCTATTGGATGGTATATTAACTTCCTATTGGATGGTTTAATAACTTCCTATTGGATGGTTTAATAACTTCCTGTTGGATGGTTTAATAACTTCCTATTGGAGGGTTTAATAACTTCCTGTTGGATGGTTTAATAACTTCCTGTTGGATGGTTTAATAACTTCCTATTGGATGGTTTAATAACTTCCTGTTGGATGGTTTAATAACTTCCTATTGGAGGGTTTAATAACTTCCTGTTGGATGGTTTAATAACTTCCTATTGGAGGGTTTAATAACTTCCTGTTGGATGGTTTAATAACTTCCTGTTGGATGGTTTAATAACTTCCTATTGGATGGTTTAATAACTTCCTGTTGGATGGTTTAATAACTTCCTATTGGAGGGTTTAATAACTTCCTGTTGGATGGTTTAATAACTTCCTATTGGATGGTTTAATAACTTCCTGTTGGATGGTTTAATAACTTCCTGTTGGATGGTTTAATAACTTCCTATTGGATGGTTTAATAACTTCCTATTGGAGGGTTTAATAACTTCCTGTTGGATGGTTTAATAACTTCCTATTGGATGGTTTAATAACTTCCTATTGGAGGGTTTAATAACTTCCTGTTGGATGGTTTAATAACTTCCTATTGGAGGGTTTAATAACTTCCTGTTGGATGGTATATTAACTTCCTATTGGATGGTATATTAACTTCCTATTGGATGGTATATTAACTTCCTATTGGATGGTTTAATAACTTCCTGTTGGATGGTATATTAACTTCCTATTGGATGGTTTAATAACTTCCTATTGGATGGTATATTAACTTCCTATTGGAGGGTTTAATAACTTCCTATTGGAGGGTATATTAACTTCCTATTGGATGGTATATTAACTTCCTATTGGATGGTTTAATAACTTCCTGTTGGATGGTTTAATAACTTCCTATTGGATGGTTTAATAACTTCCTATTGGAGGGTTTAATAACTTCCTGTTGGATGGTTTAATAACTTCCTATTGGATGGTTTAATAACTTCCTATTGGATGGTTTAATAACTTCCTATTGGATGGTTTAATAACTTCCTGTTGGAGGGTTTAATAACTTCCTATTGGATAGTTTAATAACTTCCTATTGGATGGTTTAATAACTTCCTGTTGGATGGTTTAATAACTTCCTATTGGATGGTTTAATAACTTCCTATTGGATGGTTTAATAACTTCCTATTGGATGGTTTAATAACTTCCTGTTGGAGGGTTTAATAACTTCCTATTGGATAGTTTAATAACTTCCTATTGGATGGTTTAATAACTTCCTGTTGGATGGTTTAATAACTTCCTATTGGAGGGTTTAATAACTTCCTGTTGGAGGGTTTAATAACTTCCTATTGGAGGGTTTAATAACTTCCTGTTGGAGGGTTTAATAACTTCCTATTGGATGGTTTAATAACTTCCTGTTGGAGGGTTTAATAACTTCCTGTTGGATGGTTTAATAACTTCCTATTGGATGGTTTAATAACTTCCTGTTGGATGGTTTAATAACTTCCTGTTGGATGGTATATTAACTTCCTATTGGATGGTTTAATAACTTCCTATTGGATAGTTTAATAACTTCTTATTGGAGGGTTTAATAACTTCCTATTGGATGGTTTAATAACTTCCTATTGGAGGGTTTAATAACTTCCTATTGGATGGTTTAATAACTTCCTGTTGGATGGTTTAATAATTTCCTGTTGGAGGGTTTAATAATTTCCTTATAGGGTTTAATAACTTCCTGTTGGAGGGTTTACTAACTTCCTTATAGGGTTTAATAACTTCCTATTGGAGGGTTTAATAACTTCCTGTTGGAGGGTTAAGGATGGTTTAATAACTTCCTTTTGGTACTTCATATCCCTTTATAACCTAAGCAGGATTTAATTTAGAAACCTAAATGTTCAGAGTGATATTGAAGCGTTTACCTCTTTGTCGCTCTTTGTCACTTTGGACTCGGAGTCGTATCTTTCTTCATCGATCTTGTCCAGGAGCTGGTGCAGCTTTTTGCAGATTTCCTGTAATAAAAGAGAACAAAATGAACTCTTCGTAACTTGAGGATTCAAGGATTTCAAGACGTTGTTGTCATATGCACAAAAGCTACAGCCTAGTTTTACAATTTCCTGACAAAACCATTATATCTTATTATTTTCTGCACAAATGCCAGAAAATCTAGTGTTTAGCGTCTGAAATGTTATGAAGATTGGATCACAGTGAAAGCTTAGATGATATCAGACATGACCTCAGACTTTGAGAAACTTGAATAGACCTATTTTTATAGAGCAAACCACTAATTATTGAATCAATTTTACATGTAAAATGACTTTAAATACTGGTTTCAGCCTCTAAACATAGGCATGTTCTGCTTTTCTCTGAAGTCTTTTGGGGTTTTGGACAAGTTCTACTATTTTGTGACATAACACAGACCAAAGGATTATTAGTTATAGTAATGTTTCTTGCAAACATGTCAGAAAATGCCGTTTTAAGGCTCTCAATCAGAATCAGGTTTATCACCAGGTAGGTTGACACGTACGAGGAATTTGACTTGATGTCGTGGTGCGTACATAAAAGTAAAACAAAGATTAAAAACACAGATAGAGAATTATTTTAAGAAAACTATAATAACATTAAAGTGGACCTATCATGCTATATTATAATAATATAGTGTAGGACCATACCTATATAAGGCATATTTATACTTTTGTTTTTTCAAAATACCAAACAGATCATGCATTTTAGCCATGCCTCATTTCGCTCAATTTGAAAAATGTTAGCTCTGTTTTAGCAAGGGCTGATTCAGTGAGAACAGCACCATCTACAGGCCTGGCATATGTACTACAGCGTCTCCAGCGCTTTCGAACGGCAATGGCCGTGGCTGTCTCCTCCTGATTGGTGGAGTTGGCCCAATAGCCGTAGCACCACCGTCCTGACGTCAGGACAGTGTTCAAATCTGGATCAGTTTTTATCAGATCCGTTGCAGCCCCTTTTTTAGAGATTTGGGTATGGAGGAAAATAGAGAGGGTTGTGTTTTCTGACACTTGGTGAGTTCCCTGGAACACCGGGGACACATATTCATGTAGAAAAGACGTACAAAAGTGCATTTTGCATGATAGGTCCCCTTTAAGTTGTTTCTCTTGTGAGCTCTTCCCTGGTGAAAGAGTTCGATGTTCTGTTTGTAAACACTGAATTAACGCACAAAACAAGTCAAAACAGAGCGCACCAAATCACAGAGCGTCCGCAGCGCCGTCTGGACATCAAAGTGAATATCTCTGACAATCATGTCTTTATGAAAGTTGGATGGACATGTTTCTGTGAGTAATGACGTCTTTTAGGAGAAACCACTAATTGTTAAAGTTTGTTTCTTTACCATGAGAGCCGCCTGGTCTCCGCTCAGGTCGGGTTTGGCACAATGTTCGCTCAGATAAGCCGCTTTAGCCGCAGTGGTCTCAGCGGTTTCCTGCTCGATCCACGCAGCAGCGATAGAGAGGATCAAACTCTGAGGGAGAAAAAGAGTTCATTCTTTATTAGAGATATATTACTGCAAGATCTAGAGGTGGGGAGTAACTAAGTACATTTACTCAGCTTAAGTACAATGTTGAGGTACTTGTACTTTACTTAAGTGTTTCTATTTGATGCTACTGTGTACTTTTACTCCACTACATGTATTTAATACCTTTAGTTACTTCACAGATTTGGATGAATGATGTGAAATATAACCAA